CAAAAACTTAACTTTGACCCCTAAACCATGAAAATGAAGTCAAGGTCAGATGACACCTGCCAGCTAGACATGTACACCTTACAATCATTCCATACACCAAATATAGTAGACTTATTGCAAACAGTATAAGAAAAACAGACCAAAACACAAAAACTTAACTAACCACTGAACCATGAAAATGAGGTCAAGGCCAGATGACACCTGCCAGTTGGACATGTACACCTTACAGTCCTTCTGTACACCAAATATACAAGACCTATTGCTTATAGTATCTGTGATATGGACTTGACCACCAAACCTTAACCTTGTTCACTGATCCAAGAAATGAGGTCGAGGTCAAGTGAAAACTGTCTGACAGGCATGAGGACCTTGCAAGGTACGCACATACCAAATATAGTTAACCTATTACTCTTAATAAGAGAGAAATTAACATTACAAAAAATCTTAACTTTTTTTTCAAGTAGTCACTGAACCATGAAAATGAGGTCAAGGTCAATGGAAATGTGACACACGGAAACATCGTAACATGAGGCATCTATATACAAAGTATGAAGCATCCAGGTCTTCCACCTTCTAAAATATAAAGCTTTTAAGAAGTTAGCTAACGCCTCCACCGCCGCCGCCGGATCACTATCCCTATGTCGAGCTTTCTGCGACAAAAGTTGCAGGCTCGTTGAAAAAGAAAAATACTGTTCTAAAATAAAATACATGTTCTATATAATATTACAAATACATACAATAAAATATAACTACAAATCATAGTAACATGTGAATAAATCTTCATAACATGTGCAATGCTTGTTATATTCAGATGGAATTATTACATGTTAATGTAAATTGATCTGTTTCTTTATTGATGACTTTTTCTCTTCCTTTCACTCCTGCCTATAAATGAAAAGTAAAATAACATTAAGTAAAATATAACAAAAACGTGCTATTCTGCTGAACATGCTAAATGTAAATATTAATGGTGAAATCAACAATTTTGATCATGTTGATAGGTTGAGACTATCACAGTTGACATTTATAACAAAACTTCTTTTCCCCCTCTGACCATTTTGATTACCTTGTGTGACTTTTCACACAGTCAACATGATCATAATGTACATAACTTTTCTGACATTTTATATCAATAAAGATAGTATAGCCAATAATAGTTTTCAAAATTATTTAGTGTAGAGTTGAGTTCTTTTCCCTTTCTCCAATTGAATGTTCCTGGCAACCTGCATTCTTTTATGTTACTTTTTTTCATTTAACAAATACTGATCAAGATTTAAAAGGGGAGCAATATTGAGTTTTCATGTGGCTTTCCAAAGTCAAGACCGTTCCTGTCACCTAAAGTTGTATCTTGAGGAGGCTTGAGGGTATAAAAATTCAGCAAAAATTTAAACTTTTTTTTTTTCATTACACATTTTTATTTCTTACACTATTAGTTGTTACTTTATGATATGGTACAAAAATCAACCAAAAAAATCAATTCATTTTGGCCCCAGATGACTTTTGAATTGTTTATATCATTTAAAAAGCTCCAAATTATCTCCCTTTGATAAAAAAATGCCATTTTTTTGCATTAAAATTGAATATCTTTTTTAACTCATCAGTGACCTATATTTTTATTATTTTTTTCAAATAAGCTGTACTCAAATGAGCTGTACTAAACTAAACTATTCTAAAATTTAAGCGATTTCTGTAATTTAGTTCTTTTTTTATTTCGACATTCCCTTTTTTTCTCCTATTAGTTCAACAGAAAAAAAGTAACTTAACAAAAATGCATGCTTCTTTCGAAGGCAGATTGTGAGCTCAAATGAACGGTGACCCTATACTTTTATTTTATTTTTCTATTAAGTATAGGATAAAGTATAAACAAGAGTGCACACGCTGAAATGTCTTGCCTTCTTTACTAATCATTGATATTATGTTGATAGTCCTAAATATAAAGCTTTCTTACAACTGTCACATAAACTTACTATTAACCAAGAAAAATAAACATTGACCAATGAACCATGGAAATGAGGTCAAGGTCAGATGAACCATGCCAGGCAGGCATGTACAGCTAACAATTCTTCCATACAACAAATATAGTTGACCTATTGCTTATAGTTTAAGAAAAACAGACCAACACACAAAAACTTAACACTGAGCAATGAACTATGAAAATGAGGTCAAGGTCAAATAAAAACTGCGCGACTGACATAAAGATCATAAAATATTTCCATACACCAAATATAGTTGACCTATTGCATATAGTATTAGAAAAAAAGACCAAAACTCAAAATCTTAACTTTGACCACTGAACCATGAAAATGAGGTCAAGGTCAAATGACACCTGCCAGCTAGACATGTACACCTTACAATCATTCCATACACCAAATATAGTTGACCTATTGCTTAAAGTGTAAGAAAAACAGACCAAAACACAAAAACGTAACATAAGCAATGAACCATGAAAATGAGGTCAAGGTCAAATAAAACCTGCCAGACTGACATGTTCATCATTAAATATTTCCATACACCAAATATAGTTGACCTACAGCATACAGTATTAGGAAAACAGACCAAAACACAAAAACTTAACATTTAGCAATGAACCTTGAAAATGAGGTCAAGGTCAAATAAAACATGCCAGACTGACATGTACATCGTAAAATATTTCCATACACCAAATATAGTTGACCTACTGCATACAGTATTAGAAAAACAAACTAAAACACAAAAACTTAACATTGAGCAATGAACCATGAAAATGAGGTCAAGGTCAAATAAAACTTGCCAGACTGACATGAACATCGTACAATATTTCCATACACCAAATACAGTTGACCAATTGCATACAGTATAAGAAAAACAGACCAAAACACAAAAACTAAACTATGACCACTGAACCATGAAAATGAGGTCAAGGTCAGATGACACCTGCCAGTTGGACATGTACCCCTTACTATCATTACATACACCAAATATAGTAGACCTATAGCTTATAGTATCTCAGATATGGACCCCGCCCGCGAACCAAAATATACAGTAGATGTTTGTGTGTTAAAACTTAACCTTGTTCACTGATCCATGAAATGAGGTCGAGGTCAAGTGAAAACTATCTGACGGGCATGAGAACCTTGCAAGGTACGCACATACCAAATATAGTTATCCTATTACTTATAATAAGAGAGAATTTAACATTCCAAAAAATCTGAACTTTTTTTTCAAGTAGTCGCTGAACCATGAAAATGAGGTCAAGGACATTGGACATGTGACTGACGGAAAGTGCATAACATGAAGCATCTATATACAAAGTATGAAGCATCCAGCTCTTCCACCTTCTAAAATATAAAGCTTTTAAGAAGTTAGCTAACGCCGCGGCCGTTTCCGCCGCCGGATCACTATCCCTATGTCGAGCTTTCTGCGACAAAAGTTGCAGGCTCGACAAAAATAGCGAAATCCTATATTTAAAAACAAATATTGAGATATACCCGCGAGCCCCCTTAAAGCTTTTGTTTCAGGGAATTTGGTGTTGACAGTAGATGTTTGTGTGTTTTTGGTTATTCAATTGACAATTGAGATGTTTATTAAATTCTACAATCACTTGATGATCATTTCAAGACAGTTGACCTATAAAAATATGATGAAACCTTTTCAACTGATTTTTATACTTTGTTCTTATGTTGTGCTGTAACACAACTGTCCCAGGTTAGGGGAGGGTTGAGCAACCAAAAACTTTTAACCTGCCACATTCTTTATGTGCCTGTCCCAAGTCAGGAGCCAGTATTTCCATGGAAGTTGTTGGTTTATGTATGTTATATATTTGATTTTCGCTACTTGTTTTGTTATAATAAATTATATAAATTAGGCCGCTAGTTTTCTCAAATGATTTTGTTCATATTTTTTCTGATCAGGGCCTTTTATAGCGGACTATACAGTATGAGTTTTTCTCATTGTAGAAGGCTGTACAGTTACCTATAACTGCTTATATCCACTTTATTCAAACTTTGGTGGATAGTTGTCTCATTGGCAATCATGCACCTTCTCCTTATTTTTATATAAATATAGGTCAAAACTGCATAGATCTATGCTGTTTAGTTATTTTTTGTGTTGTTGAGTTGCGTTTCATCTGTAATAAACAGGTAAAAATTCTTGAAACAATATGTTTTATCTATGTGAACATCATGGATTATTTATTCCTTTCAAAATTCTGTGAATAAATAAATGGGGAATGCGTCCATGGAACACAGATTATGCCCCCACTTGCATATAACATTTTAAAGGGTCATAAATCAAGAATGGTAAAAGTGACACACAGTACCCAAATGAGTACTTGATCTGAGTTTTGTGGTTATAAGCATTGTGTATAAGTTTCAGAACATTTGGTTAAGCAAACTTAAGTTTATAGTGAACTAAAATGAATAAACAGCTGCGCCATGAGCACATAATACCTCCGTCGCTTTTTTAAAGAATAAGGTCTTCAACACAGGGAGAAAATCACGCACTATAAGTGTTTCTCGTTTCCCTTTTTTTTTTATATAGATTAGACCGTTGGTTTTCCCGTTTGACAGCTGGTTTCACACTAATCATTTTTGGGGTCCTTAAATTAATAATAGCTTACTGTTCCGTGTGATCCAAGGCTCTGTGTTAAAGACCGTACTTTGACCTATAATGGTTTTTCTTTTACAAATTGTGACTTGGATGGAGAGTTGTCTCATTGGGACTCATACCACATCTTCTTATATCTATGTACAAACATACAAGGATAAAACTTAATGCCCTCCTCCGCTACGACGGGGCATAACAAAATGCATATACACATAAAGCAGCAGGACTCTTATTAAGACTGAATATGACAGTACCTTATTCTTTATTCTTTCATCTTATCTCCTGCATGATTGTTGACATGAATTTTGGTTCTTTATTTCTTTTATGTCCAGGCAATTTTGGTATGAAAGCATCATATTTCAAGCTAAGTGTACCCATGATTTGTCCTGGGTGTATTTTGATGAAATTATGATAAATGTTGACTGCATCTTTTGGTGTCTCTCTTGTAAAACAATAATGCAAAGTCTATGTGTTTTGTTTAAAATTACAAATCATAGGAATTAGCCAGTAACATATATTGTATTATAATTTCACTTCTGAAATAATCCTGACCGGTAACTGTACAGTTTCAGCATCCTTTCCTTTGTTCTTAATTTTTCTGATATTTAGCTGAAAGCAGGATCAATATCTTCATGTGTGTGGCAAACAAGTACTAACGACCAGAGAACCTGAAAAAAAATTCCCTGTTGAGTTCTCGACTAGTATCATTTATTTATCCATTAAAGAGATAGAGCTTTGTTAGAATTTTGAAAGGTGGAAGCAGTATAATTACTTTAATACACTAAAATATGTAATAAATAAAACAAGAATGTGTCCATGGGACACGGATGTCCCTGCTTGTAAATATATCTCTAATTTATCCTTTTTTCTATTAATAAAGTAACATAATATGAGAATGATGAAAGTGACTTGATCAGTGTTTGGTGTTAATAAACATTGGAACAAGGAATTATTTGAATCTGGAATAATTTTGAATTCTGGAAAATTGAAACTAAATTTATGATGAAAACTAATTAACCCAACTAAATAGGGTTAGCCATGCGCGCATGGCTAAGGGGGGTTAGTTAGTTCATACTGAAAGAACAGTGAAAGTAAAATTACCCTTAGCCATGCACGGCTAACCCTATTTAGTTGGGTATGTTTTCATCATACATTTCTTATCAATTTTCCAGAATTCAATATTATTCCAGATTCAGATAATTCCTTGTTTTGTGTATAAGTTTCATAACACTTGGTTGAGGCAAAGAATAGCTAAAGTGCAATTAGGGTTTTGAACTAGTTTTCAATTACTTCAAGTTCCCTGATATTGATTCATGTTTTTTTTTATTGCAGTACGTACAGTAATAATCTGATGGTTTAAGAGAGCACAATACCACGACAACAACATGTTTATCAAAATATCATTTTCATTTTGTTCTTTCTTAATATTCCAAAACCACAGAAGAGAAAAATAAATTTCCATATCTTGCCCTGTTAATGAGTCGTAATGAAAATTATTCATCAAATACGTATTTTGGTTATGTTGACTTATTGGTAGATCTTACTTTGCTGAACATTATTGCTGTTTATTATATGTAACAGTTTATCTCTATCTATAATAATAATCAAGATAGTAACCAAAAACTGCAAAATTTCCTTAAAATTAACAATTCGGGGACAGCAACCCAACAACGGGTTGTCTGATTCGTCTGAAAATTTCAGGGCAGATAGATCTTGACCTGATAAACAATTTTACCCCCATGTCAGATTTGCTCTAAATGCTTTGGTATTAGAGATACATGTATCAGCCGAAATCTACATTTTACCCCTAGATTCTATTTTTAGCCATGGCGGCCATCTTGGTTGGTTTGCAGGGTCATCAGACACATTTTCTTAACTAGATACCCCAATGATGATTGTGGCCAAGTTTGGTTAAATTTGGCCCAGTAGTTTCAGAGGAGAAGATTTTTGTAAAAGTTAATGGTCAACGACGGCCCTTTGGGCCAGGTGAGCTAAAAAAAGATGTACAACAGGTGTTTAGAAATAAAGAAGATAATGCACTCCAAAGAAAATTTTTATTTCTCTAAATGCTTTGGTATTAGAGATACATGTATCAGCCAAAATCTACATTTTACCCCTAGATTCTATTTTTAGCCATGGCGGCCATCTTGGTTGGTTTGCAGGGTCATCAGACACATTTTCTTAACTAGATACCCCAATGATGATTGTGGCCAAGTTTGGTTAAATTTGGCCCAGTAGTTTCAGAGGAGAAGATTTTTGTAAAAGTTAATGGTCAACGACGGCCCTTTGGGCCAGGTGAGCTTAAAAAGATGTACAACAGGTGTTTAGAAATAAAGAAGATAATGCACTCCAAAGAAAATTTTTTATTTATATTAGAGCTGCCATGAGAAAAAACATATGATAGATTTTATAGCAATATGGGAACTAAAATATTAATGTACAATGTAATGTAGGTGCCTGTTCCAAGTCAGGAGCCTGTAATTCAGTGGTTGTCGTTTGTTGATGTGTTACATATTTGTTTTTCGTTCATTTTTTGTACATGTACATAAATTAGGCCGTTATTTTTCTTGTTTCATTTGCATTTGTCATTTCGGGGCTTTTTATAGCTGTGTGGTATGGGCTTTGCTCATTGTTGAAGGCCGTACGGTGACCTATAGTTGTTAATTTCTGTGTCATTTGGTCTCTTGTGGAGAGTTGTCTCATTGGTAATCATACCACATCATTTATAAGCATAAATCAAATAAAGTTAAGTACAACATTTAAAAGTGTTGATGTTAATAACATTTCTGATATATCCAATTTTCTAGAGGAGAATTTCTAAAATATATGAATTTATGAGGGCTTGGAACCCGGCTAACATGTTTAACCCTGCCACATTCTGTGCCTGTCCCAAGTTAGGAACCTGGACAATCAGTGGTTGTCGTTTGTTGCTGTGTTACACATTTGTTTTTCGTTAATTTTTTTGTATTTTTATAAGGCCTTTAATTAGTATTGAATTGTTTTACATTTGTAATTTCGGGCCTTTTATATATGACTATGCAGTATGAGCTTTGCTCATAGTTGAAGGTTGTACTGTGACCTATAGCTGACTGACAGACGGAGGGACAGGGGTAAAACAATATGCCTGCCAACTTTTAGTTGCGGGGACATACAGAGTTATACACTTTGTTTAAAATACTATTGAAAGATCATAATTTAAATTATTCATGTTTACAGAAGTCTTTTGTTAATGTTTATATTTGTATTGTGTTGTGTTGTTCTGTTTCTGTATCACATATAACATGTATAAGTCTAAAAGTTTTTGACCACCAAAATTTTCTAAGAACAATTTCAGTATTTCCCTCAAGGACCACCAGGAGAAAAAAGATTTCAAGAACTCTGTAATGGAGAGAAAGAATGGATAGGGTTTAAAGAATAGAGAATATTGGACAAACATGTGCAGAATAAAGGGGCAAACAAATAAAGAATAGAAAAACAATTGCAAAAATAATACAGAATATTGAATAATAGGGCACAAAAATTATACAGTAAATAGACATGATAGAGATAATATAAATGGGCAAAATAAATAATGAATAGAGAGAAAAATGGTCTAATATTTAAAGAATAAAGACAATAAGGACCCCCTCATCCAAACCCTCATTTAGCAGAACAGTAAAAATGATAATTATCTACTTTCAAGGAGTGTTTAATATGTGGACATTTTCAAACAATTTCATACATTCCCATATCTTTAACTATTTGATCATTACTTACATCTGTCCATTATTATGCTGTCTTTTAGATCACATTGCATTTGAAGCTGATGTTCAATACTTGCACAGTTGTACACCTAGAAAAAAAAACTGCAAAAATAAGATAAAACAGTCTTGTGTAACTGTCATACTAGTTAAGATACAGAATCGTGTGACTTTCTAACAGAAAATTTACATCACATCAATGAGAAATTGCATAAAGTAAATAAAATTATTCATTTGTCGCTTTCGTTGTTGAGGTTACATGAGTGCATTAGCTGCCTTATTTTTACATGTTCACAAATCAGTATCCGGGAGAGCAGTAAATATATAGAGGCTCTGCACCCTCCCCCTGGAATTTTGTGCTCTGAAGGGACCCAGGTGCTTTTTCTAAGTAAGGAAAGAGTTTAAAAATTATCCATCATGTCCTCACATCTAATTATTAAAAATGTATATCAGAGTCAGAACTTCTCAATGTTCATTTTTTGGGGGAATATTTATTACCCTAATTTAATGTTTTTATTGTCTTTAATTAAGTGACTGACACAGTACTGAGGATAACATTTTCATATCTCTTCATTTATATCTACAAATTCTAATGATGTTTCACATCCTGGGGGATTAAAACCCATGAAATTGAAATTTATCACACATAATTGGCTTATAGTAGTAATTGGGAATGTAAACATGTAATAAATTTTTTCCCAGTAGGCAGTTTAACCAAACTTAAGATACAGACAAGACATAATAAATCTATTATACTATATACACAGCATGCACAGGACATGTGCTCTTATCATAATGATGAACTGAGTCTATACTGTCCCTTTAACAAATAATGCAAAGTTAAAAAATTTTGTTATTTAGATTCTGTGAATTTTTTTAATTTTAAACATTCTTAGTTTGTTTGAAATATATATAAGATGTATACTATTAGTGAGTATACTTAATCATCTGTAGAATTTTTTTATTAATGAAAAAAAAAAGAATTAGCTTAACAGATTAATCTATAAAGATTATAGTCGATCCAGGTAATTTCGTACAGGCAGTTGGTCCCAGAACACAGTTATTTTGTAGTGCATTTCTTTTAGACAATAAGTGGAAATAAAAAAAATCCAACCTGAGCCTTCTCAATAATATTTTTACAGTGTGTTGTACTACTTAACTTTTGGGACAACTTACATAAAAATTATAGAAAACTTCATCGGCTCTAACTCAAAATATGGACAATTTTATGTTAAGGGGGTCTTGAAATCTTGACAGCTTCCAAAATTAATGCTAATTTTTAACCTTTTTCAGCTGGAACAAATCACTATTTTACTTTAAAATTCATAATTCAAATTTTTTAACAGTGTAATTTTATCCCCCTACTTGCTATTTGAGACAAAAAACATGAAGAAATAAATTTGGAAGGGGGATAAAAAAAAATTGGCAAGTAACACCCTGTCAACACTAGTTAGGTACTATATTCGTGGACAATGAAAATCAAAGGATGATAACTGTGTTCTCAGACCAGGTTATTACTGTACATTTTGCTTGTTTATTAAACAGGGAACCAAATGACTTTCATTTAGGACCAAAAGTGTACGGAATTACCCTGACGGACTCTAATGTAAGATCAACCTCCTCGCCAAGGTAAGATATGTACATGCATTCATAAACTGGGGCTCCAGTAGGAGATACACCCTTATGTCACAAGGCTTTTACCCTAAAGATCGAAGCCTGTCTAGAAATGGCTTCAGATTACTTTTAAGCAAATAGAACAGTTTTGACCATTTAAAAGATCCCAAGTACATGTAAATATTAATGACTCACATTTTAGATGACCAACAATGTATTAAGAAATTTTCAAAGAACATATATATATATATATAGGATTTAATATTGTCTGCCATGAAATTATATGTCCACCAGACACTATTTCACAGTAAATTGTGTCCACGGACTTAATGTTATTATGAAATATTGTCCAAACAATGTTTGCCTATAGTATACAATTTTGTCCAGATGTGAAAAATTGTCCTTCAATGAAGGGACAATATTTCATATGAAAAAAGTGTCCTTCATAGAAAGGACAGTATGTCAAGAGAAAAAGTGTCCACTATCAATCAATTTTTATCTAAATTAAAGTTTAATAAAATGCTCCGCTGGGGTGCAGCTGGATACGACCGCAGAGGTCGAACCCTGAACAGTTGGGGCAAGTATGGACACAACATTCAAGCTTGATACAGCACTGAATTTGGATTGTAATTAAATATTTGACACAGCATAGGTTTCTGACACAGAATGAATGTGGCCTAAGAACTTAAAAAAATTTTAATTTACCTATTCAAACCATATCATTGTTATTTGCTTTTATATATAAATCAGAAATAACCAATTTAAAATGGAAAATTTTAAAGAAAAAAAAGGAAAAAAAAATCCCCCCCCCAAATTTTTTGAACCCCCTAATGATTCATCAACCCCAAACTCAATCCCAGCCTTCCCTTTGTGGTATGGTACCTTGCAGTACAATTTCAGAGAGATCCATACACTGGAACACAAGTTATTGTCTGGAAACTAGAAAAAATGCTTGTTTTTTGGCCCCTTTTTTGCCCCAAATTCCTATACGTTTAGGGCAATAACCCCCAAACTCAAACCCATCTTTCCCTTTGCCATATGGAACCTTGTAGTTCAATTTCATAAAGATCCATACACTTACACACAAGTTATTGTCCTGAAACTAGAAAAATGCTTGGTTTTTTGCCCCTTTATGGCCCCCAATTCCTAAAATTTGGAAGCAATTACCCCCAAAATCAATCCCAGCCTTCCCTATGTAGTATGGTACCTTGCAGTACAATTTCAGAGAGATCCATACACTTGAACACAAGTTATTGTCTGGAAACTAGAAAAATGCTTATTTTTGGCCCCTTTTTGGCCCCTTATTCCTAAACGTTTTGGGCAATTACCACCAAACTAAATTCCAGCTTTCCCCTTTGTGATATGGAACCTTGTAGTACAATTTCATAAAGATCCATACACTTACACACAAGTTATTGTCTGGAAACTAGAAAAATGCTTGTTTTTTGCCCCTTTTTGGCCCCTAATTCCTAGAATTTGGAGGCAATTACCCCCAAAATCAATCCCAGCATTCCCTTTGTGATATGGAACCTTGTGGTACAATGTCAGAGAGATCCATACACTAACACACAAGTTATGTCTGGAAGTTACAAAAATGCTTATTTTTGGCCCCTGTTGACCCCTAATTCCTTAACTGTTGGTACCATAACCCCCAAAATCAATCCCCACCTTCCTTTTGTGGTATTGAACCTTATGGTAAAATTTCATAGAGATCCATTCACTTAAACTAAAGTTAGAGTGCGAAAACCAATGTGTCTTCGGACAACGACGACGACGACGCCAACGTCATACCAATATACGACCGCAAAATTTTTTTGCGGTCGTATAAAAATTAGAATATGGGTTTTGTTTCTATTAAAACATGGCATGTAAACTAGAGTAGTGAATTCATACTAAATGTGACCATCACCATGTGTATTTAAACATGAATTATACAATAAAACATGTACTAATACACACAAAAACAGAAATATATTAAATAGTACTTAAAAATATGAACAATGTTGATTTAATTTACATAAACTGTTATCACAGAGATATGTCTTGCCTTTTTGTAATTTTTATAAAGCAATATTGTTGAAATTAAAATAGCAATACTTTAACATGTAAGTTATGTAAAATGTTCAAAGTCAATGAACCATGACTGAAGGTACATGGCTGAACAATCTCCATGGAAATAAGATGTGCTAATGATAAATTATACAAAAGCTTCTTTTTATGCATACCAAATATAATTGACTTATCTAAGTCATTCCCTTAAAAAAAACCTAAACACAAACATTAACTTGGTAAACTGGTGTCTTCCCGATTGTCCCACTTTTTGAAATTATAGGTAAAAAAGTAATGAAATTTTGTGAGACAATCGGGAATATGTTTGTGGGACAATTGGGAAGTTTAAATGTGGGACAATTGGGAATTGTTTTGATAGTGATTAATTTGTTTTTATAGTCTGTGTCAGTTAATTACAAGTTACTAATCACTGTAACTTATAAAATATGAAAAAAAAACATGAACAAATAATAATACTAACATATTATATTTTGCACATACATGTAGTAGGTACAATTGAAGTATCATCAAACATGGAATATAATATGAAATCATAAAATTTTAGTCTTAGATGCATGATTTTTTTTTAATTAGTTTTTATTGGCTTTGAACTAGCTGTCAGTAACTGCGAATACTCCAAGATCTGTACTTAGTGTCTTTGTTGTGGGGATGTATAAGTAGCCGTCCACGTCAATGTCCACTCTGTGATTTGTTAAATGTTTTTCTGTCTGTACCCATCTGATGAGATAAGCCTTTTTCAACTTTTTTTTTTAGTTTATTCTTATGTAACATCACTGTCCCAGGTTAGTGGGAGGATTGGCGCCTTCAAATAAGTATAACCCGCCACGTTCTGTATGTGTCTGTCCCAAGTCAGGAGCCTGTAATTCAGTGGTTGTCGTTTGTTACTGTGTAACACATTTGTTTTTCGTTCATTATTTTGTACATAAATTAGGTCGTTAGTTTTTCTAGTTTGAATTTTTTAACATTTTTCATATGGGACCTTTAAAGCTGACTCTGCTGTATGGGCTTTGCTCATTGTTGAAGGCCGTATTGTGACCTATAGTTGTTAATTTCTGTGTCATTTAGTCTTTTTTGGAGAATTGTCTCATTGGCAATCATACCACATCTTTTTTTTTATGGAAGTCTGGTTCTTCTTTATAGTTGGTGACGAGTCCTGTTGACTGCACTTTATGGCAAAGACACTGGGAGTATTGGAAAAACAACCTTTGATATTGATTCTTAGAAAGGCTGATCTGGCAGAATTCTAGACAACAGCTTCGTTATCAAAAAAAGGAAGTTGTTGGGTTCAGGTGAATCTGACGTTGGGTGTTAGTAGTCTTCAATAGTGCAGAGAATGTTGTATTAATGTCCTCTGACTTCCCAAGTAAAATTGTAAAGACTTCTGGAAAAATCTCTCCATCAACAAGTTCGTGTAAAGTGTAGAATGTAAATGAGTTTATACCTTTTTTTCAAATTGCATGCATTATTTATTCAAAAACTTTAGAGAAAATGTAATTAAAATTACGGTATTGAAATTTGTTTTATAAATAACGTAACATTGTAGATATATTTCATAAATCAGAAATAAATTTTTTTTAATCAAAAGTGCATTAATCTAATGATTTAAAAAACATTTTTTTTATACTTCTATAAAATTAATATTAAATGTGCAATAAATTAATTCTTGTTTATTTAGCAAAACAAACAACAGTTACATTGTTTATCTAAGAACATTTTACTTCATAAAATAATGTGGGACAATCAGAACTTTTCATGTGGGACAATCAGAACTCTAAAATTTTAAAAAGTGGGACAATCGGGAATAAACCGGTAAACTATGTAAAAGTTTCAAAGTCAATGAACCATGATGAGGGGGTGGGGCTTTATAATATACAAATATACCACTAGTGGTTCCCCATAAACTGACTCAGACCTAATCACAAACTAATACATGTATAAAACTAAGCAAAATTTTCAAGGTCAATAGACCATGACTCAGGGGGCAGGGCCAAATAATCTCTATGGAAATGAGATATGCCAATGCTTATACAACTGCATACCAAATATCATTGACCTACCACTTGTGTTTCACCATAAACTAGACCTAATCTCAAACTAATACATTGTTGACGCCGCTGCCGCCATCGGCAAACCTATAATGTCTCGCTTTTTTACTCTGTCAAGGCGAGCTAAAAATCATGTAATTTTCAAGAATTTTCTCATAAATACTGTTCTTTCTTCATTTGGCATTTCTTGTACTTTATATAGGGGTTGTGACAGTTGATGCTGGTGGATACTTTTTGTTGACATCTTTATAGCTAAGATAATTGAATATGCTTTGGAATTTAACACCTTCCATTTGGTGTTTTTATCAAATTATAACAGGTTCTTGATTGGTTTGTTTTAGTAATAGAACATTTAATATAGCCAATAAGTGAGTGACTTTTTTATTATCTCCCTTTAAAGGACACTTTTTACTGTGAAAAAGTCCTCTTATTGAAAATCAACCTTGCAGGACAGAATTTAATAGTACTTTATCATGAAATAATGAATTGAAGGACACTTTTTCACAGCATCGGACAAATTAAAATATTTACATTTTCTGTGAAAAAGTGTCAAGGTGGTTGATATATATAGTAAAAAAAGGTATTGTTACTTAAATGACTAGTAATGGATTGTTGAGACTTGTTATATGTCAATACATTTTAGAAAATTGTAATTATGGAGAATAAAAAAGACTTTTTTACAGTGGGCCCCAAATCCCCAAATACCTGTGTCAGATGTAGGTGAATAGAAAATAGGGATTGTATGCAAGTAAAGCCTAGATTTTTGTAAAAAAAAAAAAAAAACAAAGACTTTTATCTGTTATAGTTTGATCTATTACAGATTTTCATTGTAAAATTTAACTCACTTACAAGTATTATGTCCATGCCAGCATTGTTTACAAAGAGTCCTACACAACCTTAAATCAAATACAATCCAAAGTCAAGCACACCCAAAAGCCAAAGGTGTACTTGAATAGGTCTATAATTGGTAGTCTTGATTTAACGAATAACTTTATTTCTGAATTTTAAATTGGTTTTATTAAACTGTGTAAGAGAAATTATTGTTCTATCTAATAAGCATTGACCAGTTGACATTATTGTGGCCAAGCAGATACCAAAAAATATTCGGAATCCAGATTTTCCCCATACTTGTCAGGTAACCAGAGGATTTCCAAACCGAAGTGGTTCGTCTGACAAAGGTGGAATTTTAATACAGAATAGGTGACGGGTAACAGTTCTGTGGATGGAACAAACATCCTCACCTTCAAACTGGTAAAGTTCAACTTCTACAAGAGTCCTGAGTTGCAGTGCGATAGAAGAACGTCTGTTATCCAAATGCAATCAGGGAACCAGTTCATGTAAGACAAACTTGTTGTGACCTTGAACTTGAAGATGCAGAGATGCTGAATGAAAACTTGTCATCAGTACGACAGTAGCCTGTTGTTGAAATGATTTCAATTTATATATATGGTAAACATTTAGTTAAAACAAGTGTGAGAGCAATTTACGTTTAAAGAGGGACTGGATTTTTTGTTTTGTTTCTTTGTTTCCTTTTTTTTTTGGGGGGGGGGGGGGGGGGGGGGGGGGGGTTGAAAGGTATAGATAACTACGGGACCTACCATTTGGTTTTTATGGGGGCTAGGATGAAAAATGTTGTCCTTCATTCTATTAGTTGTTATGTATTTTTCACTCTATTCGGTCCTGCCTTTTTTGTTTTGAAATTGAGAATGGAAATGGAAAATGTGTCAAAAAGACAGCAACCCTATATATAGCTACCAAAGAGCAGAAACCAGCAGAAGGCAACCAATGGGTCTTCAACATAGCGAGAATATCCCGCACCAGGAGGCTTGCTTCAGCTAGCCCCAAAACAATATAATGTACTAGTTCATTAGTTTATCTAGTCCAAATAATTATGACGTCTTGGAAGGCTATCTTAAATTTTTGTTTTGACGCCTTCCTGCGTCGATGTAAGGCGTCAACGAAAAAAATATAATAGCCTTTCAAGATGTCATAATTATTTGGACTATAGTTTATCCTGACTACATGTAAATAGTCATCCTGCCTTTTTTTCGGCAAAGTGTCTCATCCCACCTTTTGATTACTCAAAACTCCTGTCCTGTTTTTTTTTCGAATTTCATCCTGATTTTTTTTATATTATAGTCTAGTTGCATAATCAATAATGTTTATTGTTTGAACAGAGTATGTTAAAGTTTATTGAAAAATTCGCCCACTATTTCGTAAAATGTATTTGCTGCAAACAAATATAAATTATTTTTTATTTGCATAGTAGAATACTGGAATACATTGTACTTACATGACTTATCTTTAGTTATTGATATTTGTTAACAATTTTATTAATTCTAATCAGTCAATTTGATAACAAAATGAATTTATATCTTTTTCAAGTTTTAAAATTGGTACATCATTTTTTGTTACTCATTCCAAGCTGACTATATAGCTAGTTTATCAAAAAAAAAATGTTGTTTTTATTATAAATCCATTACAACAATCAGTGAGAATTATCATTTTTAACAATTAATGCTCTAAAACAAATTTTAAGCCAACAACTTTTAAATATTTCCATGTGTTTTCATAAATTTCCAGAATTTATACCATATGAATAAGTTTATTAAAGTTTAATACCCATTAAACAATATGTTTTAATACAAGTACTAGGGAGAACGGACCTAGGGCGAACAGACTCTGTGGGTGAATGAACTCTGGGTTAACAGACCTAGGGGAAACATGTAATCAGGGCAGAGGGATTTTGTTAATACGATTAAATATTCTTACATGTACAGGCTATACATCAAAGAATATAATGTAATAAAACCTCAATCTTTATCCAAATCTTGTATATTATATGTTCCAGACCATATGAGTATTTGGACCGTACACATATACTTGTGCAGTCGGACCATATGTGTACGGTCAGACCATATGAGTATACTCATACAGTCTAGGACTAAATGGCCCCTATATGTATTTGTACCATAGGGGTTAATTTTAGACAAACATTTATCAAAATTTTTATTGAATATATACATACAAATTAATATAATTACAATTAGATGAATAAAGTGAAATATATCATCATATCATCAACCCTGTAATATCCTAACTTTAATATTGATCTGGAATATATGTCCGTCATTTCATTCCGTATGTTACTATGTACAATGTTTAACACAGTTATCTACCTTGATTAAAGTATCAGAAATCCAGCATGGTTTGTGTCTTTATAAACAAAGACATTTACAATACTATACACAAAACACCCTTGTAAAAACACACCATCGCCTCACAGATCATTTCATTGGCGACGAGAAAATGGCAGCTTTTAATTTACCCGCATTTCCTTCCTTTGATATTGAAACGGACAAATCAAGCGCAGGTCCTCGTTGGGAAAAATGGGTTGAACGCCTAGAAAACCTTTTCATTGGTCTAGACATCGACGATGAAGACAGAAAACGTGCCTTATTATTACATTATGCTGGGGAAAGGCCGGGTCTATGATATATACGATGCCGAAAAAAAGCAAACATTAGCCTCGTATGATGCAACAAAGAAAGTCCTGAAAGACTATTTTGACCCCAAGAAGAACATACAAATGGAAATATACAAATTCCGTAGCTATAAACAATTAGATGGTCAATCATTAGATGAGTTTGTTACTGAATTACGGAAGTTATCAAAAAATTGCAAATTTGGCAACATAGACAGTGAAATTCTCACACAAGTCATTCAAAACTGCAAATCAAACAGGCTCAGACGAAGAGCTCTGAGGGAACCTGACAAGACACTTGATGACATATTGGCAACTGGAAGGGCGCTTGAGATGGCAGATTCACAAGCTAGCTCTAACTATGGAACGTGAAACCATAAATAAAGTACAATCTACACAACGTACCGCCCAAAGACAACCACAAAAGCAAAACAACCAAAGAAATAACACAAAGCCACAATACCTTAATGATAATTCTAAACAACACAAACATACATGCCGTAACTGTGGTGGACAGTACCCGCATACAAATGAATGCCCAGCTAAAGGGAAAAAATGCAACTATTGCAGTAAACTAAATCATTTCAGCAAAGTATGTAGACAGAGGCACAATCCTACTAGACAAGAAAAAGTTAGAGAGGTCCAACATAACACAAACAACAATAATTATGAATCAAGTAGTGATGAAGAATATGCATATCATATCAGCATGATTACACCGTCACGAGAACATGTAAGTGTAGTTGGTTTGAAAACACAAGAGTAAACATTCGCATAAACGACAAACATTGCAACTTTCTTCTAGACACTGGTGCAACAGTTAACCTTCTTGACCAGAAAACTTATCACAAGATAGGAGCACCTAAGATGAAAAAGGGCAATTATCCGAATTTATTACCGTATGGCGGAAGTGATCCTTTAAAGGTCATGGGTCAATGTCAGCTTAGTGTCGAAACAAAAAGTACTATTGACTGTGACACTTTCTATGTAGTTCAAGGAAATCATGGAGCTTTGCTCGGATACCCACTTGCAAGCAAGCTAGGGCTTGTAAAGATTATTAACCAGATAACTGATCCAAAAGCAAAATATCCTAAATTGTTTGAAGGCATTGGTAAATACAAGGGAAAACCAATTAAACTGCACATAGATGAAAATGTGAAACCAGTAGCACAGAGACACAGAAGGACACCATTTCACCTTCGTGATAAAGTTGAGAAAGAACTTATAAAACTGCAAGAGCAAGATATTATTGAAAAAATAGAGGGTACACCAACACCCTGGGTGTCTCCTATAGTGACTCCACCAAAGAAAAACCCAGAAGAGATTAGACTAGGTGTTGATATGCATCAGCCGAACAAAGCTATATCTCGTGAACGACATCTTTTACCGACTATAGATGAACTGATACACGACTTAACTGGAGCAATACTGTTTACAAAGCTGGACCTAAGGTCAGGATACCACCAGCTGGAACTCCATCCTTTGTCTCGATATATAACAACATTTAGTACACATGCAGGTCTATTTTGTTACAAACGCCTCAATTTTGGAATATCATCCGCTTCAGAAATTTTCCAAGAAGTCATACGCAACGTTGTAAGTGGTATACCTGGAGTTAAAAACATTTCAGACGACATAATCATATATGGCAAATCACAGGCAGAACATGATAAAGCGTTAGATGCCACATTCAAGAGGTTACTTGAAAACGGACTAACTTTAAATCTTGAAAAGTGTGAGTTTAATAAAGATCAAGTAGTGTTTTTCGGGGTTACATTTTCGAAAGAAGGTATTTCGCCAGATCCAAAGAAGGTTAGCGCAATCAAAGACATGTCTCCACCGAAAAATGTACCAGAACTGCGTAGCTTTCTAGGTATGACTACATACTCATCTAGATTCATACAGAATTATGCAACATTATGTGAGCCGTTAAGAAGACTAACACGCCAAGATACAAATTGGACCTGGGGTTCTGAACAAGAAGCAGCTTTCGAAAAATTGAAATACGAACTATCTAGCGACACCGTCATGACATATTTTAATCCGAAACATGAGATTGATATTTTGGTTGATGCCAGTCCTGTTGGACTCGGGGCAATAATGTCTCAAGAAGGAAAAACTGTAGCTTATGCCAGCAGAAGTCTTACTGACACTGAAACAAGGTATAGCCAAACTGAACGAGAAGCTCTTGCTATTGTTTGGGCATGTGAACACTTTGATATGTACATAAGAGGTGCACCAAACGTGAACATTATAACAGATCACAAGCCACTAGAGCGTATTTGGCAGAAACCAAAGCCACCACTGAGAATTGAACGTTGGGGTTTGAGATTACAACCATACAAACTTAAGATAACATATCGACCAGGGAGTGAAAATCCTGCAGATTTTATGTCAAGACACCCATCAGACAACCCTGTCAAATCCCGAGAACAATCTATAGCAGAACAGTATGTGAGATTTGTTATGTCTGAAGCAGTACCTCGTGCAATGACACTTGATGAAGTTAAAATGGCTTCTTCAAAGGACAAAACTATTCAAAAGGCAATAGAATTTGTAAGAACTGGACAATGGTTTAAAATCAAAAACATAACAGATCTGGAAATTGACATTGAGGAATTACAAGCATTAAGGAGCATCAGCGGTGAACTTGTAACCTATGGTGACACTATTTTACTGAGAGACAATCGTATTGTACTCCCATCTGAACTCCGTGTGCGAGCTGTTAACATTGCGCATGAAGGTCATCAGGGTATCACCAAAACTAAAGCATTCTTACGTTTCAAGATATGGTTTCCAGGACTTAATGACAGAGTTGATAATGCAATTAAAGACTGTTCAGCATGTCAATCTGTTACACACACCAAAAGAATTGAACCGTTAAGAATGTCTGAATTGCCAGAAAAGCCGTGGGCAAATTTGAGTGCTGATTTTTGTGGTCCATTACCTAGCGGAGACCTCTTATTCGTTATTACAGATGAATATTCATGTTATCCAGTAGTTGAAGTAATTAAATCCAACTCTGCTTCAACTGTTATTCCTG